ACGGTGATCATTTACCCGTGAAAGATCGAGTTTGAGGAACTGTCCAAATGCTGTAAGTTCCAGTTTCGACACAACTGGACAGCGATGATCGATAGTGGGGCTACCGCGGTGCGGGGAACAGGTGGCAGCTGGCGGGCAGACAGTAAAACGACCTCAGCCAGCGTCAACGCACACCGAGTCACAACGGAGCAGGCCATGAAGCAGCGGGCGAAAAACTACTTTTCACAACTCGGTCGGGTTAGGTCTCACCTCGTTTCAGGCTAGATCTCACAGGTCATATGGCTTTGGCAGCTTTATGAAGGGCTCGAGGCTAAAAAACTCCTGAAACTCTTGACAACTGACGACCTTCTCCAATTAGCCATTCATCGCAAATTGAGGCAATAGCTTTTTTCACTCCGTTCGTTCCGCGATCTCCGGCGACGGACATAATTATCAGCTGCCTGTTCTCCACGACTAGGCAGCTAACCGTATTCTACCATTCCCCAGCAACCACAATTTCACCATGTTCTACTTTACACTGATTTTTATTGCAGTTGCGGTACTGTTTAATCCAAGATACTTGAGTATTTCATGCCTAGAGAAGTGTATAGGATGAAATGCAATCATGATATTACGAGTACTTCAAGTACTCGCATAATAATGATCAGCTGCTGTCATAGTCTCCGAAATGAAAGAATATTTGTACCATCGAGCACGAACGAACACTTGATTTCGTTGTTGCCCTGCAGGAAACAAGAAAAAGAAACTTAGTAATCGTTCAGGTGTGGATCACCCTTACACTTTCATTAATAGAAACCTCTTTTCATGATGCTCATGATAGGTGCTGATCTCCGTTTCCATGCCACTGGCCAGGAGTGCCTTATTTTTGTAAAGGCAGAGCAGTACAGCTGTGTGTGGCAAGCAAAGCGTAGTTTCCTGACTCTTTCCCACAGAGTGGAACTCATTTATCAACCTCGAAAAAACGAAGGCGCATGATCGGACGGGAACTCGAACTCGGATAAGGTTCCGAACACGACGATTTGCCGACGGAACAACCCTGGTCTCGAAAGATGGAATGTCTGCTGCGCAGACAAGCTGACAAAGAGGGCGAACTTTGGGGATCGACTGCTTTTCTTCAATAACGTTGTATTTAGATCCCTCTTCTTTTTGAGCAAATCATAGTTTGCACTTTACTCTGATGCTTCACTTGATTCGGGTCCTCCGGGTGATTCTGAAATTCAAAGCAACGATACGTAACAACTTAAATTCGGCTCCTTAGTATCACTTATACTGTGGCAACGTGGTGTCCTGGCCAGCCACGCCCAATGGACTTGAGGCATAGCCATGCTGTCTGATGCGAGCGCCACATAAGGCTGCAATTCTCCTCGACCCACTGACAGCTGCTTATTCAATGTGACAATTTGCAGAAGGTGAAACTCCATTTGTTGTTGGCATCGGAGGAGTTATGCGACACTCATTTTCACTTGTCCTACACGCAATTTGCTACTGTTTCTTTGTCCTCGCCTGCCATAAAGCAGATAGCTACCATCTGCCGTAGCAATAAATCGGACTAGAAGCCAAGAGGCGAAACCAATGTACGTTTTTTACCGACTTCTAGTCAGCAGAGCGGACATTCGGTGGTGACGTGTCCACGGTTAAATTATTCGCTGCACACGTGCATTTAACCGTTTTGGCATTTCTGCTGTGCTTCTGATGCGTACGTCTGTTACGTCTTGCTTTTATCCGATTAAAGGAGGACCAGATCTTTGGCGACAACTCAAAATCAAGTCGAAGGATGAATGAAAATCAAGACGGTCAGTAATTGTGATATTAGAAACTGTTGCCATCGTCGACTGGTATTTCCCAGTTCAGCGAAATCATGGAACAATCATCTGCGAGACTCGACGCAGAATCGAAAAAATCAGAAATACCTTCGTTATAAGTTAGAAATAACTTTTCGCTAGAGATCTGTCGATTTCTTGTAAACTGGTGTTCATAAGGCAGGGGACCGTTATGTGAGTGACAGGACCAAGACCAGGTTTCAACAGACCTGCTTAATTTTATCTGGTACGTTGACGACATACATGCAGATGGCTTCTCCTACAGAGATGGCGAAGCGCATCTAAGTCTCCAAACGATGCAAAGACCAACAGAAAAGCGAGGG